TAGGAATTTAAGAAATGTTTATTACCTAATAATACTGAAAATATGATGGAAAAATAATTGTGTTGTTTATTTATTATTTATTTATAATATTACACTTATATTGCTAAAATTCGTAAGATATAAACAAATTTAAATAATTAAACCAAGAATTTCGAGTTGGTTGATTATATTGCTCCTATTAAATCAGCCATATAACTAACAATCACTTTATTAATTCGTCGATCTTTTGTTATATTTTATTCACAATTTTTCTAAGAATATTTTATTCGCATTTAAAACAATTTGAAACGAAGAATTCAAATAAATAAATAAATAAATATTTTCTTATTAATATTGATTAATTTCAAAATATTTTATAAGTATTAAATACTGTAAGTGTAAAACTGTAGATATTTCTTATCATTATTATCATCATGCATTATCATTATCAATATATCATGCAAAATGCATAAAAATTTCATTCGCACTTGCTTTATTAAATACAAATGAATTAAAAAGAAATTTAGATGTCAAATAGTGAATTAAAATGAAATTGAAATTGAAATTCGACGAATTTAATTGTGCGAATTAATTTTGTAATTGTTTCTAATAGGATTATGATATTATCAAGTAAAAATTAAAGGAATTTAAGAAGAAAAGAGAATAATAAGAACGAAAATTTTTCGCAATTTGTCATTGTTACCTTTCACACTTTCAGCGAGCAATTCTTTTCTGAAGTTCCGCATTCGCTTATTTTGTGGGCTTTCTGGCATTAGTACCACTGACATAGAAGTCAGGTTCTACAGTTCCGCATTTGCTTATTTGCAGGCTTCTTGGCATCACTTACACTATTAGCATAGAAATCAGGCTTCTTCCCTTAGGCTAGAAAGTTAGGAAATTATTGTAGGTAATGAAATTATTTTTTAAATAACCACTACCAATATTAAAATAGTCAAAAGTCTTTGAAAATCAAATAGATAATGATGCATCATCGTTTAATTGAGTTGTCTATGATGCGAGAGGCTATGTCATGGCATATGGTACCAGTGAACAATAGTGGTGAGCGCTCATAAAGTATATTGTATAAATATGCAAAGTATGAGGTCAAAGGGGATAGAACGACGACTTAGATTATCGTATTGAATGCTAAAAGTTCCTACTCCTGACATGAAGAAATTTATCACTAAAAAATCCTGCTAATGCTGATATTTAGCCTTAATTCTAGCACCAATTTATGATAATTTCTAAACATAGTGGTCAAAAATAGTTAGGGGCTTACTATTTATTTATTTTTTCTATATATAATATTCTCGGAAAAACAGTAAACAAAAAGATTGCAATTGTAATTCTATTTCGTATCTAAATGATTCTTGGCACGGGTTTTGGATTTTGGTGGACAATTCATCTATTTATCACTAAGTGATTCTCTGGCAAAAAGGTCTCATCCTACCTAGTTATCAATGGGATCGATTAAACCAGCGAATTATCACTGAAGGTTTTTTTAATTGATTATATATTGCACCTTATCTTCATAAAGAAAATGGTATTTATGATATTTTTTAAATCTGTTAATTTTTAAATACTGTGATAACTGATAAAGTAAAATTATTGGTTTTATTTATCATGCTGAAAATGTTATGGGGGAAATTTTTTAATTTTTTAATTTAATGACAATACTTTTGATTATTTATAATGAATTTTGTTAAAATTGTTAATGAGTTACAATAATGAAAATATACATTTATATGGGCGATAATAGCTTTTTTTTTCGATGATTTATTTAATATACTTATTCGCAATAAGAAATAAAAAATGGAACAATAATCTGCCGACTTTGATTTTAATTTATTTTAAAAAACTTTTCGCGAAAAATTCTTGTATCATTGGTATTCACAAATTATTGCAAATTTTACTGAAATTTTACTGCCTTTTTTTTCATTGTCGAAAATATAAAATATAAAATTTTAGAAATAAAGATGGCTTTGATTTTAATAAAATGAACTAATCATCGCTTTATCAGGTTATCAGCAGCTTTGATTCATGCTACATCACCAATAACCTACTAGTTACTAGTTTGCAAAATCTTTAATTATTATTTATCAGCTAAAAACAATTAAATTTCATGGTATGCTAAGAATAAATTCAGAAAATTTTTAATCATCAGCCTGTTTCTCGAGTAACTAGCAAAATTTCTAGTTATTAGCCCCAATCAATTTATTACTTATATATTATCATCTCAAATCAACTTGGATTTTTAATATTGAAATATATGTTTATAGAATTTTTAAACGATATTTTAGACAACACGATATTTTATTTTATTTAAATGCTTGATTCGATTCGACCAATTAAAATCCAATTCTGCCGGAAACTAATTTTTAGTTAATTTTTCAGAATTTAACTATTTTTCCTTTAGCAAATTTTTCTATTGAAAAAAAAATGTGAATCATTTGTTCTGTTTTAATTTTTCATTTTTTCAAATTTTTTCGATTTATTTTGGTGAATTTCTATTGAAATTTTCACCTAAATTTAAGCAATAGAAGACGACTTGGAAATTTTAATGACTCATTTCAGTCTTTTTTTTCTAGTTAAAATATAGAAGCTCGCAACATTTCTCCGCATCAATCAGCATTGTATTCGACATTTTATGCATTTTCAGCTGCTTAATTCAATTAATGACCTAGTTTTAATTGTCATTAGTTATCTATGACTCGTTATATTGGATCATCACCGAAATGATCGTTATCAGTTATCTCTTATTGAAAGTTAATTATTTTCAATGACCATTATAAACTTTTCGCTCTCACCAAAGAAAATTTAGCACTTAAACTAATTGTAGTTAGCATTTTGTCCGGTAATCTGGCGCATTTTTGATTATCAGTTATTGATAAGAAAATATTTTGTGAATAATAAAGTTCAAATTAGATATAAATATAGAAATATCGGAATTATAATAAAAGTTATAAAAATCACATTATAATAGAAAATTTATTGACTTAATTCATTTCAACTTAACTTTGCAAAATTTTTCAAGCTTTTTATAAAAAATATTCAAAAATTTAGATATTTCATTTCATTTCATTTCATTGAACTGAAATTTAAATAATCGATTTGATTAAATTTGCATATTATCATCGCTAAATGAATAAAATTTTATAATTCAGAGATCGAGAATTAATTAAGAAATGCAAAATCGTAAGAAATATGGTCTATTCATTTATTTATTATTATTTTTGATGATAATATATAATTGCAACTGTTATTCTCAATTAGATTCAATACGAGAAGCATTTCCGCAAATATCCGAAGCTTTTCAACCAGTTTTTACTATTATGCCACCTCACTGTACTAAGGCATCCGTTATTAAATCAACTTCATCAAAAGGTTTATCTAAATGTTTTTGCTTTTTTTTTACACAAAGAAATTAAGTGATATGATAACAAGGAATCAAGAAGACTTTTAAAAATTTAAAAAAATTAGTAAGTAAAATAAAAATAAATAATTTTGCCAGCGAATCGAGATTGTTTCTTCGATGGCACCATAAATAATGCGATTGAAAATGTTTCTTTCTCAAAGTCGAAGGCAAATAAAGCAGTTTTCAATAGGGTTCCATTATTTCTAATGAATAAATTTATGCTACAGTCCATTTAACCAATGGGCGGTTTGATTTTCATTTAAAAAACCATAAATGAAACCTATTGTCGACATTAATAAAACTTATACGGAATGAGTTGTTTTTTTTTCCTCGGAACTTCAGTAAAAAGTAAAGAATAATGTCGGGATGCAGTATTATAAAGTTTTCAGCATAAAAATTTTCAGCATAGAGTTTCGATTATACACCTTAGAAAATGCAAACTATTAGAGAAATAATTTTTGCTGGATTTACATAATCCAAACTGTGCTTCACAAATAAAACGCTAATCTGCCTTCTAAAGCCTAAGTAGTTTCAATAAAATATTCCAAGTAAAGTAAAGTAAAGTATTCCACATAAAACTAATATTAGTTTGAACTTATCAGCAGTTAAAAAAGAATAAATAAAGCGAGCACGTAGGACATATTGCTCTGAGACTGATAAAGATGTCTCTGCATTAGACTTTGCATTATATGAAATATATTACAATATTGTTGTAAATTATTGACAAAAAGGCTTTATGTTAAAAGTATGAAGATAGGAAAAGCTAGGAGAGTACCATAGACAAATTTACGGTGTTGGCTGCCTTTTTTGATTGAACTAAGAGGCAAAATTAAATATGAGATCAAAATTGAAAGATTTTTCGCTACTTTTCCGGAATATTTATACTTGAAACCATAAAAATCTTTTTTTAAATCTCTTTTGGCTGTATATATGAGCCAAGGATACGCAAAATTTAGCTCTTGGCTTGCAATTCATTGTATTTCTAATAATTTTAAGCATAAAGCTTAGAATTCTGGAAGATATTCTTCAATAATATACAACAAAACAAGGGTTTTCATCAATTAGCAAACTAGGATTTGAAAAAAAAATTCAATTTCACTGAATTGCAAAAATTTCAAAAGCAACTAATCTTCGATTCGAAAATTTTTGAACAATAGTGATACATGAATGTTTTAAATTTTTTTGATAATTTTCATGAATCTTCGGCAATTTGCCGATTAATTAATCATAAACGATGTATTCAAAAAAAATTTAGTAATCAATCATGAAATACCGAATATAACGACGATGCATGTTGGCATTGGTCTTCATAATACGATTTGTTTTAGACTAAACAATCATAATGGAACAGATATCTTCAATAATTTCTTAAATACACGGTAGCCAATTATTCATTTTTATTAATGCGAAAATTCTTCTAATTTGTAAAATTTGTATAAAATTTGGCTGTAATTTGCCTAATTTGCATATAGGCTCGATGCTATCCTCTAAAACCTAAATAATTTGAGTAAGCGTAAGTAAAGTATCCAAGTGCATCCCCAAAAGTCTCGTCATAATGAGAAATACTACTAGCCAAACCAGAAATGACATATACGATTATAAAAAGATGAGAACATATAGTCGAAGCTTTCATTATTCTTGGTTATTATATGTATTTATAAAAAATTTCAGATCCGTGATGTATCCATGGTTGCATACTCTAACTCTTGTACAATTGGAACATCATCATCCTGTTTCGCAGCAATATACTTTCGCGATCCCCGAAGTGCACACTAAGTGTGTTTGTGATTGCAATCCAGCATCAGATATTTGTTCGGCACGAACTCATTCATTTACTATTTGTAATTCGACCAGCAATTCTGTGGTTTATTTGATTCGAATTTTCGCAATAACTATCAAAAATAATAGTTCAATAAATATTTGATTAAATTGCTTAGAATTTACTTTAGAATTTAAGTGGTGAATAGCGTGAATTCAGGATTTGAGCGAGGCTCTCTGAAAGCTTACTGCTCAGTTTCCTAGGTTCCTGATAGAGGACCAGAGGTTGACTCATACTACCTTATTGGACTCGAGAATAAACCAATTATTAGAAGGAAAATATAGGTGGGCATTACCAATTGCTTTCGTGGCCTAATGATAAATATTTTAGTGCTATCGTACTTTTCATCCAAGTCAATCGGATTCAGGATGCACGCAAGGAAGTCAGTCAAAGTTGTGTTGCGAGGTAACTGATTCATTATTGATGATTAAAGTTTTTCCTTTTTTATTAATCATATTCATCAAAAATCTTTTTTATTAACGCCTACCAAAAATTCCAAAAAAAGTTGTTAAAAGCAGATATTTATTGTTAACAACAACTGATAAGCAAGCTAATCAGCTGATAACGAAATTTTTACAAATACGCAGATTTCTTACCACAGACTTTTTTATAAGAATTAATTTTTGTACAGGTTAATTTTACGCCATATCGTAATTTGTCCTATATGGCAGTAAAGTTGGAGCAACCGTCGACATTCGCTATATTTAAATACTCGGCATACGATTATTCAGCAGGTCGATGGATTCAAAAGGATAAAAGTACACTACGAATAGAAATTGATGGACGAACTCAAAGTCTTTTTTTGGATCGCCACAAAATCATTAAGCTTGGTGTAAGTGCATGGGGTCGAACAAGTCATCAGCTTGAAAGCGGTATGTATTTTGCCCAAAGCAACCCAGGAGGCGAAATGGACGAATTGCGAAAACAACAAATTAATGAAATTAATGAAAATAAGTATTTTTTTTTGCGAATTGAAATCATTTAATAGGCCTAACAGGCTTTTCGTATCCACTGCACCAGATATATTTTAAATTGTAATTGTAAATTCCTGCGATGAACCACGTTTCCTCATCGACCTTCGATAAAATGTGATCAAATAAAATATGGATGAAAATAAATCCATTTAAAAACCAAATTGAATGAGCCAAGAGGAGTCTAAATATAATTTTTAATACAGTTGAATTCAATTATACAATTTTACAATTTTTGCACAATTATTTTACAACCTTATAAATTTTATACAATTTATAATTTAAATACAATTTTTAATACAATTGAAACAGACGAAAATAAAATTGTAATATAATATTTAAATGTATAAAACTTTATAAATACTTATAACATCACAATATGGTAACAAATTTCCAGAAATAATGAGTCCTGCGGACTTCATAAATATTTGAGATAAAAGGAATAGGGGAAAGGTGGAAGTAAAAGAGGGGAAACACATCGTTTTCCAGCATTATTTAGTTTTTTTTAAATTTACCTTTTTTTTCCATTGCTAATTTTGCTAATTTTCAGCTTCGAAAGGTTAGGTTGGTTTCGAAAAGATGCTACAGGTCGCTTTAGTATACGAAATGGTAAGGTGAAAATACAAAAAATACATTTCGCAAAAGTTGAAAATTGCAAGGATCAAAAATCGCTGAGCTACCTTGATGCTCATCACTATGTGGACGCTGATAATCATGAAGTTAGCTTTATCATTTTAGAGCAATAATTAATTCACATTCGATTGCATAATGACTGAATAATGAGTGAGAGAGTCCTTACCATTACTGTTTAAACTCGCTCCACTGGCTTGTCATATTAAGCAATATGCCAGGAAATCCTTTAGCGATAGAAATGCAGTTGAGTCGGCAGCATCACCCGCATATTGTGTAAGTTAATATTTTTACCAACATTGCTAGGCTCTCACCATTGATAAATATTCTTAGTAAATTTATTCTATTTATTCTAGTCTGTCATCTATAAGATAAGCCTTTATGTAAATTTGATAATATAAACAACGAGTTGCATATTTTATAACTTTTAAAAAATTTTTTAGATCAAAAAAAAATAACTTCATTAATTTATTAGTTTAGATTGAATTAATTCTTAATCCATTCAGGATTACGAGCGTTTTCGTTTTGAAGAACCTGTTGATCAAATATATACATGGATTAAAAGTGCTCGCCTTATTGATGGTTCTGCTCGTCAAGCACTAATTGTTCATTCCGGAGGCACAAATCTTGAAATTTCGCTACAGGTACAATTACAGTTTATACAGTTATTTCACGCAATAAGTGGAACGTTTGTTAAAAAAAATTCATTGTTGAAATAAAAATTTCCTTTCGCTCAAACTAAAGCATAATGGATTTGATTTTTCAGGTTCATGCAGATGAATCAAGCGTCTCGCTGGTGCATAATTTCTCAAAAATGAGCGATTTTTCTGGAAGTATTATAACCGATTTTAAATCGAATCGATATTTCAATCTAACGGTTTATAATTCAACGGGAATTTTACATGGAATAGTTAAGAAAAGTGTTGCAAAGGACGATTTAGATGATTTTTTGTAAGTTTCTTTTGCAAATTGTTTGATAATTTTTTATAAATAAAAATATAGCATGAAATACGGCTCCATTAAACAGAAAAATTTAATTTTTATCCATTAGAAATTTTATAAGAATATTTGCTAACCAATATGCAAAGTAAAATAAATAGTAATAAAAAGTCAAATAACTGTATTATTTTTTAGAAAAAATACACTTAACAAAAATCATAACAGGTTATATCCCAGTTTTTTTGTGCAAACCTATTATTAAAGAGTAAACTCATTTGGTACCTTCTCTGGGTGAAATAATAAATATGCAATAAGCTTTTATTATTTGCATTATTGTTTTAATATTAATTGTTTTTGATTTCAGTTAAAACTGTGATTATATAAAATGATAAATTGATAAATGATAATGATTACTTGTTGGAAATTGCTGGTTACTTTAGAATTTATGAGCTGAAATTTAGTTTTACCACATACGTCGACGATTTGAGATCTACGAATAAAACTATTATAATTCCGTTTCCTGCAATGGTTGGTGGCAATGATCGCCTTGTATGCATGAGAGCAGATGATGAACCATCTGAAACAGAAATATGTAGAATAGTTATCTATAAAGAACAACCTCTTGAGGTATTATTGTTTATGCTAAAGAACAAAAGATAAGATAAGAATTGATCGAAAACTTTTATTTTTTATTATCAACTAAATTAAGTTCTTATCTTGCAGAAAAATCTGCTTGCTTAGTTTTTTTTTTTTTTGAATTTATTTCTATTTAAATTTATTTTAATTTATTTAAATTTATTTTTTAAAATTTAAACTTATTTAAGATAAATCTTCTCGAGAATACTTGGCGAGAACTCGGTGGCTATTGCCCAGAATGCAATAAATTAACAGTGAACGGATTTTTAAGTAATTTAAACCCAATGAACTGGGTAAGTAGTATTAATTCGCTAAGTAATTTTATTATGATGATTTCAGATATAATTATTTATTTAATGTTATTATTATTCGTGTATTTTTTATTAACTAAATGTATATTACCAATTTGTAAATGTGGCTTATGTCCTGCAAGTTTCTTTTCATCGCATTGTAAGAAAATAAATAATATTGAGAAGAATTCTAGATACGTATAATAAGCCGAGAAAGTTATAGGCTGAGCCACAAATTTGCCCAATATTCATCAAATATCAACCATGCAAATCTTAGCTTATAATTAATTATTTTTTTAAAAGGAACTTATTGTTTTATTGTACAAAGGACAAATTAAGCATAATTTCGCAAATAATCCATAAAGTCTTTCAACGGGTTTTTTTCCGGCATTTCGCCATTTTGTCGGAAGAAAATCATCTTTAGTTTAAGCAAAAACTAGTAGTTTTTTTCCTTATTTCTTCATTATTTTACGATTAGTTTAAATGAAAAATTAGATAAATTAAAATTTCTGTTTATTATTTGTATACTTCTTTTGTATTTTTCATGTGCTAATTTATACTACCGATATTTTTGATAATTTTGATAATTTTTATCAGTTGATAATTTTAGATTTATTTGCTTTCATTTAACATATTTTTCATAAATACGGGTGAATAAGTTTTCGTTAGCAAGTTAGCATTATATATTTTTTATAATTTTTTTTTCTATTTGTATTTTATTTCTGCAATTGTAATTTTAAAATATTTAAGATATTTCAAAGTTGTCCATCGATTATTCATCATTTAATAAATAATTCTTTTTTTTTTCTCCGAAAATTGTTTTATTAAATTATATTTAGTTAGAAATGCATATAATATAGTGGTTTTATAATAAATACTTAGTTTTAAAAAAAATTTAAGCAAAATTTTTCATAAAATTCTTTAGCCTTCACCTTTTATAATGTTTTTAATCTTCTTTCTCGTGATAACGAGCAGTTTATAAGTATAGTCGAGAAGACTGAACGTACACTACCTTCCATAAGTCTAAAGAATCTTGAATACTAAGTGGCTACGCGAATTTTATCGCCTTACCTCACCAATAACCACAAACAGCTTTTGCAAGTAAATTTTACACCATACTGTATACCTGTTGTACAACGTAGAAAAATGACGAAGCGAAGGTTCCTTTAGCATAGGTAAATTTAATAAAAGTGGTAGTACTGAATATATTTTTTTCAACAGTCACTAAATTTCTTCAAAGGCTCGGTTAAGCCAAAGTAAATCTAAAAAAGTTTTAAATAAGCGAAACTCGAGTTTGAGTTATATGTTATTTGTAACGGTTGATCGATTTTTCTAATCAATTTCAGATTTTTATCCATTCCATTTTAAACATTCATTTCATTATTTTATACATTTTTACGAAGAAGAATATTTGGTTTCCATATTTGCATGCAAATCCGCTTTTGCTTCAATAACGTATGAATTAAACGAAAGAAAAAATTTTAAAAAATTTTAGAGGTACTAAGAAAGAATTTAAAAATTTTCATACAAAAATTCGATAAAAATACGGTAGATTTAATAAAAATAAACTAAAAAAAAAACTTTGTCAGCCATCATTCCTCTTCTTCTAATAGCTCTCACCATTACTGGTTAGGTCGGCACCTCTGGTTGCAAGGATAAGACTTTTCCAAGCTGTTTGATTCCACTCATCGTTGATAATAATAAAAGCCACTTCCACCCTATGAGTCCATAAATCACTTGTCCACCTCACGTTCAGAATCCTTGAATCCTTGCTGACTGTATCAATCCAGATTTTGGCTGGACCCAGCTTTTCACGCTATCCATCATATAGCGTAGATAGTATTGGAAGATATGTATAGTCCTGTGGTGAGCGACGAAGAACATGCCAACGAAACAACGCTCGAACAGATCAGCATTGGATAATTATATGAAAAAAAGAAAAATTGAAATTAGCTGAAAATGCTAAAATATTTTAAAATGATTTAGATTTAGCCAATTTTCCAAGTGATTTTTAAAAGAGAAAATTTTTTAATAATTCGTAATATTTATTTTTTAATAAGTAGAAATTGCAGTTTTTTGATAATTGATAATTGATGCTTTTTTTTTTGAATTTTGCGCAATTCAATCTTTAGTAAATCTATATTTGGTCATTAAAGAAATTCAACACGAATAAAAACGAATGGAATATTTCTCTTATCACTTGAAAGGAGTAAATTTATTTATCTTCATTAAAAAATGGTGGAAAGCCATTTCAGTCACACATACTAATCACATGGTCGATTGTGAAACGAATTCGCTATGAAGTTTGACAGAATTTTAGTCGATTGGAAGAAAAGAAAAATATAAAAAATATAAAAAAAATTACAATAAATTTTGAATTTTGAATGAAAAAATATATTAAAGAAAAAATTTTGCTTCTTTTTCTAAATTGAATTGAGTTTTTTACAGATATGTTTAGTAGTAGAGACAGAATACCAGTAGAACTGCAGTACAATAACTGCTAAAAAACCTGTAGAACATGTCTTTCGAAAATCCAGATGCGACTCACCTATACTAGCAAGTGACTTCCTGGTAGCTAAACTAGCTTAACAACCTGCTTTGTCCTTATAAATAAATCTTTGAAATGGGTCATCCTACCAATTTATCTCCAATTTTTTTGACTCCATTAATTTTTCATGGTCAATACTGTATTGTGTTCTAGCCATAAGCCTCTAAAAATTCTAGAAAGTTGATATATTTCGACAAATTTCGGTATAATCGAATTCTTCTAAAGATTTTTTTCGAAATACAATGAATATAATCTCATTTAATTTGAGGTAGGGCGATCTTTAATGAATTTTTCCATTTCGATTATTTTTCCATATTTTTCCTGGAAAGCGTAGAATGGCAAAGTAGATACTCATCCAGATTGAAAGGTGAAAGTCCAAATTATTTTGTCACCTCACCGACGAGAGCAAATCCATTATAGAAAACTTCGGACAATGCTGGGGACAATACTCCCAACTATATCCTCATAAAATTCTCTGATTCAAGAAGTCTATGAAAATATAGACAAGCCCGAACCCTGTAGGAGGCGTGTTCCGTTCGCGATTCCCACTATTATAGCAGTTTAATACTGAATATTCACAAAATCTCCAACCTCCAATTATTCGCGTAAATTGAAGTAATAACAATTTAATTACAATGGTACCCAATCTAAAACACAGTTGTCATTTATATAAAAATGCAGCTATTTATTACTCATGAAGGTTTACGGTCTTTTTTGCTTATTGATAAAACTAACGATTGAGGTTAGAAGAACTATTTGTTCTTCGATTTTTTAAAATTTTACAGAGTCGCGCCGCGCCTTGCCCGAGGCATTTTTGTAACTATTCAGCTATTAGCTTTTTGTATTTATTGTAGTAGTCTAATTTATGTATATACAAATATGCATTCATATTTTATTGGAAAAAAAGAAATTTCAAAATTTTCATTAAATTTTTCACAAAAAAAATTGTACGAAACATTAGAACAATGATTTATGTTTTTTTATTTGTTTTTTTCAAATTTTAATTCTTTTTATTTTTTTTAAAATAAATTGTGAAATTCTAAATAAAAAATCTTTTTATATAAAAATAATATATAAATTTAGAAAATTTGGTTTGTTTATTATAGGTATAGGTGGAAAAAATCGTTTGAAATTTGTCGACATTATGTATGAAGGAAATTTTAAATTTAACGAATAAATAAATAAATGGAAAATTAGCGATATGATAAGCGATAAAGCTGAAGTTAAATGCAAATTGTATCGAATTGAGCAGCCTTCTTCTTCCTTTTCCTCCTTTCTTCTCCCTTTTTCTTTTTTCCTCCCCTTCCTTTTTCCCTGCTTTTTTTTCTCCTATCGAATCGATGAAGTATCTTAGCATTTTTTTTGTTTATATTTTTTAAAAAAGAGGCTAACCAAGTCAGCGATTTTTTAAATTCATTTAATAAAGTATATCTTAGCGAGGTTTTTTTTTTATAAAATTGTACAAAAGAATCAAAAAGTATCAAAGATAGAAAGGTCATACTGGTTGCAAGAAAGCGGATTTTTTTATTCTCAACGTTTCTTCCGCAGATATTTTTTGCAATATATTTTTGATAAGCGAATGAAGTAAATCAGAAAAACAGTAATAAAAATATTTATCTTTCTCGAATAGCTTAAACTATTTAACAATGCCTACAAAAATTTCATTTCCAAGATTTTTGCTATATTTTTATTTTTTTCTAAATCATTTAGCGATCATTTATAGTCATTTGAGATAGATTTTCTGAAACATTATAAATATTAAAAGAAAATAGTTGCTCTTTTAATTCACGATAATTTTAATAATGGTTTCGTCCATTTTTCCTTTTTCTTTCAAAAATATTCCCATTTTTAAAATTTTTCTTACATACTTATAAATATAAATGGATCTCGAATCTTTTTCCAATGTCATAGGAGTGATCTGTGCAGTATACTTATTATCAGCTGTTCCTACTTTTCTGGAGAAAGATCTCTGTTGTTCCTGGAATCTGTTGAAGCCATTTTCTTAAGAATTGCAGCCCTCTCCTAGTGCTTCTATTACTACTCGGATTACTTTAGTTATATATATGGATTGTAAAGATGCGATCTAAGATATCATTTCTCTATCTAAATTAAGGTTATATGCTTTTGTAAAAATTTGCAATAATTTAGAAGGAAAATAGTTCAAAAAAAAAAATTTTTATCTTGTCGCCTTCCATTTCTAAATGATAAAGATCATCATAAACGATAAACTGTAAGCAAATGGTTTAGTTGAGAAAAGAAACGAATGATTTACTTAATTATTAATACTTCAAATACTTCAAAGCTAAATTAAACTAAATTAAAATTAAAATTTAAGCGAATTTTTAAATTTTCTTTATTTTTATTATTTGTATTACATTTATTACTTGATTATTATTGTCATGTTTCCATTTATTTTCTTTGAGAAAAAAGAAAATATAAACTAGAATTTTTTTTTTTTTTAAGAGCCGTCATTATTAGAATCGCTCCGCTGGCTTATCGCACTCGATAAATATGCCAGGAAGTCCCATGGCAATAGAAGTAGAAGTGAGTCACCAGCATCGCACGATTTTTGGACGGGTCTCGGACTGCGGTGATTAGAACATCGCTATAGGTGCTCCGAATTGAGCAACAACCCACTGAGCGATTCCATGCTTCATTTATTATTGATGTATTTTTCTCAAAAAAAAAATTAGATATAAATACCGATAAATTGAACTGAATCAAAGAATTCTAATTCGTATTCACCTTATTTTAAAAAAATGATAATTTTTTTTGAATTTATTTAAATAGATTTTTCAGCAATTATGCGTACAGTTGTTGCATTTATATTGTTATCAATTTGTTTAATTCAAAAAAATTTCGCTGCGGATACGGTGAAGGTTACAAATAAAGTTTATTTCGATATAACGATTGGTGGTAAGGAGGTATTTCTTATTAATGTTTCGAAAATATTTTGAATTTTAAATTTGGAAACTAAAAAGTGATGATCATAATTAATTAATATTAAAGTAGCAAAGGAATTATGTAATTTCTTCGAGTGGCTTATCATTTATCATCAAATAAATATAACCAAAATATGATGATATGAATTTACGTAAACATATAAAGATAAAAATTTATACGCAAACAAATTCAAATATACAAATGGAATGTATGCCTGTTGGCTATGTATATATATATATATAATATAAATGGTTAACATAACATGCTAGCATAATCTAGCATAATCTAGAATAACTTTAAAATTCTTTTAAAGATCGATTAAAAGAAATTTTTTTCAACCAGGATCGATTCAGAACGGATTTCAGGATATTTGCTTTGAAGGATTTCTAATCAGTTTTAAAAATTATTGAATTATTAGGCTGGAAGGATAGTAATTGGACTTTTTGGTACTGTTGTACCGAAAACTTTCGAGCTCTTGCGACTGGTGAAAAAGGCTACGGCTATAAAGGATCGAAATTTCATCGTGTGATTAAGGATTTCATGGTTCAAGGTGAGCTGCAGACAAGCTATTGTATTCATTGGTTTTAATGCTAGGAAGATAATATTAAATATTTTGGCAATTAATAAAATACTATTATTAATAGGGGGAGATTTTACGAAAGGAGATGGAACAGGTGGTAAAAGCATTTACGGTGAACGTTTCGCTGATGAAAATTTTGAACTTTCACATTACGGTGCTGGTTGGGTTAGTATGGCGAATGCTGGTCCTAATACAAATGAATCGCAGTTTTTCATTACTACGGTATATTTTAAGTTTTTAACTCTTTTAAATTTTATATTTTTTAGTTTTAATTCGATTCAAATAAAATTCTATAAGAGGAACAAATAAATTAAAGTACATAAATAATGAAAATTTATTTATATATAAAATTTAAATATATTTTATATTATTGAACAACTTTTTAAAATTATTTCCTTGTTCATATTTCATCCTTCCTTAACTTTTTTGTCTTAATCTTTGACAGGAGTGAACTCTGCCATGATAACAAAAAATCCGAGTGGTTGCTGGGGGCATTCATCTATAACTATTCTATAACTATTCTTTCCCAAATGACTCTGTGGTAAAAGGGTCAGCTATTCTCGACACAGCATTCGACGCCCACGATACTCTTAACCCAGTGGTAGATGCGATAAGTGTGCAATCAGGGCGTAGTCAAATGGCCTCAATGCTTAAGAATATGATCTTCTCGCGATCGACTCCAGACCTGATAAGCGAAACGGCTTTCTGCACGCATGGCGAGTTGTAAATATTGGACCGCTACAATCTAAAAGCAAGGCTCACGTTTTTCCTAAGTATCGTGTGAATGTCGTACGCTTGTCGGAGTTATCCGCTTCTCATCTCATGGGATTATTAAATCTGGTTACGAGGAGAGTGTTGACCATGGTAGCTTTTCGGATAAATAGGCAGTCGTTCCTATGTGGACGCTGAAACTGGTAACCTTCATGCATCACCATAGTATGATTCAAACCAAAATTCGCATAAAACGAGTCGTAAGAAACAACATATCCCAACACCTTTCAAATTAAAAGATTCTGGGATTAGATGCATTTCAAACCGAAATAGTTGAATTGTTGAAGCATCTCAGTGACTTGAATTAAAAATCAGTAGTATTTCTGAATCTGCTGGTCCCAACTAACGGAAAGTTTGAGAAAAATAAGCCATTTCCACGATATACTAGATATGCTGGAGGAAATACGATAGGTACAAATAAGCAATCAGTCCAGCTGTCTGAAAAGGCTAGTAAAGCATGAATGCCTTTTTTACAAAGTTATTATAACTCGGTTGGTGAAATGGTACGTGGTTGTAATAGTATGTCTGTTATAGATTATTAAGGATCACCTTATAAGATGGAAGGAATTCTTTAAGACCAAGCTTAACCACAATACGCCTTCTGTTGTCTCGGATATAGTTGATTCGCTCATCGAGCCATATGTTTGCAATTGCGAACCGCCAGCAGGATATGGAATAATCCGTTCTATTATTCTGCTATTCATGTATTTAAGGTCAATAAAACTCCCGAAGAATATGGTCTTCGCGCTGAACTCAAATGTTGCCCTTGATAGCACATCAACAAATGTACTCTCTGGTATGGAAAAAAATAATGCCAGGTGACTGGGGCAAAGCAATTCTACTCTCAATTTCTAAGTTTCTAAGGTGACTACTTTGACAATTATCGAGGAATCAGTCTATCAGAAAAATTTTTGCTTTCTTCCTGCTGAATAGACTTATGGCATTAGGAACAGCAGGATAAGCCCTAATCAAGTTGGATTCAGAAACCGAAATGCTGTTGCACTGACCAGATATTCACATTAAGAAGAGTGTTGGAACATCGCCTCAAATATCTGCAGCCCACTATTACGTGTTTCATCGATTCAGCTTTCAACTGTAGAAGGGACCGCTTTGGAGGGTAATGGAATGTAACGGTGTTCCAGAGAAGATCACTCGCCTCATAAAGGTATTTTATCAACATACATTGGCACAGACCTAGGTATATGGAGAACTTACAGACCTTTTCGAAATAAGAACTGGTACCTGTTAAGGCTATTTTTCCCTATAAAATTCACTTGTGCGATAAACTGAATAATGGACATCGCCTGTCGCCAATCAAGAAATGCACAAATCAGTCCGGAGCATAGTGTTAGAAATCTTACGTATACATTAAATACGATAATGATGTAGTTTGCTGGAAGAATAATTATGACGAAATGCAAATAATACTAAACAATGTGTCGAAAACTGCAGTGAGAATCGCATTCAGGAACGAAAATTATAACCCGGATATTGGCAGCTAGAAATGCTTTCTTCCGGTTCATGAAACCTTTATGGACTCGTCACGAAATCACTATAAAAACGAAATTTCGCGTCTATGCAGTCGCAGTTCATTCGATCTTGCTATATAGCTGCGAGATATGGCCATTAAGAATGGAGGATATTGAGAAGTTTTGCCTTTAATCACTCATATCTAAGACACGTATGGGTCCGCTGAGCGAATAAAATCGCACATCCACCTTCGTTCCACATTCATTAATAGCACCATCATAGAGCATCGCTGGTTAGGGTACGTTCTCACCATACGAGTTGGCACATATTAAATCCTATGATGGCGTCAAAAAATGGATCCGATAATTTCAGGTCAGGTCGCATAGGGGACCAGCGATGTATGGACTTGGATGGTGGAAAGAAGAATGGCTTCTATCACTGTCGATGGTGGCATCGATAGTTGAGGAATATAAGATAATTTCAAAATTGAAAGAAATTATGAATTATATAATAATCTGGTATTATAAAATAACTTGTGTAGTTCCGATGTTTTCGCTGTAAATGAAAGGACCGCATCAAATAGCCCTTAAATTTGGTTGCTTTTAACAGTTCGAACTATTAGGCTTACTCCGTCAACTACAAGGATGTTTTTCCAGGCCAGTGCCATAGCTGAGAATAATAGAAACCACTTCTTTTTTTCGCCATCTAAATTTCTATATGGTTACAATATTTATATGATAACATATTTCAACTCTTGATTTTTAGGGGAAAGCAAGCTGGTTGGATGGACGGCACGTGGTATTTGGGAAGGTTCTTGAAGGTATGGACGTCGTCCGAAAAATAGAATCGACTAAAACTAAAACTAGCGATAGGCCCATTGATGACGTTGTAATAGCGGATTGTGGTGAAATTAAAATATCTGCTCCATTCGAAGTACCAAAGAAAGCCGCAGAATGAGTTTTTTTCAGCTTCTTTTGGCAATTTTTTTGTTGCAATTTAGTCCTATATTTTCTTTAAATTTCTGATTCAATTTAATATTTCTTTTCCATATCAATAAACATTTCTTCAGCACTGATAATACATTGATAAATTTTCAATACCACACCCTTATCATCACAGCGGTATTTTCATAAATTTCAAATCTTCTTTTTTTGTGAAAATACTCAGTATTTTTCGAGAAATTTGAATAACTCGGGACGAAATGGCGATTGCCATGTCTGACAAGGCCCATTCCGCTTTGATTGAGTGGAAACCGGTAAACAACCGTATGGCTAATGTCCATTTTAAGGGTAAGTTCAATATCTCGCTCATCAGAGTCTATGCTCCAACTCTGTCGGCAGATGACCGTGATAAAGACAAATTCTATGCGCATTTTCAACTGCAAACAAAGTCTCTGCCGAAACATGACATGATCATAATCGGGGGAAACTGGAATGCTCGCGTAGGTCATAACGCAGCTGCGATGACCTTAACAATTGGCAAATATGGCATCGGATGTGCCAATGGGGAACGTCTTCTTTGCTATGCCGAAGAGCATCAACTTTTTGATACTAATACTTGCTTCCGGCATCATAGAAAACATCTAGTCACGTGGAACTCCCCGGAATATCTTAGTAGCCGTTGGAAGAGTTCCGTACTAGATACTCGTTCTTATCGCGAAGCTGAAACGGGCAATCTTCATGGATCTGACCATGTTATGGTTCGAGCCAAAATCCGCATAAAATTGACAACTCGCAGAATAAAGCATCTCCCAAGTTCCTTCAACTATTTCAAACTAAAAAATTCGGGAACAATAAGCGCATTTCAAATCGAATTATTAAAGCATCTCAATGATACAAATATCAATGATTTTTCTGGAACGGCAAATGAATACTGGTCCAAACTAAAGGAAGATCAACGAAAATCAGCCACTTTTACGCTAGGGCATACTAGTTGCGCTAGTCGGGTATTGGAAGCAGTTGCTTCTGTCCAATCGGAAGCAATTGAAAAAGCTGCCAAAGCATGAATGTCAGGTGATCCTGACTACCGAGTGCTTCGAAGATTTGCAATAAAAGCAGCAAGGTGGGACAGAAATCTCTATTGGAGTGATATGGCCTCAAGAATGGAGGCGGCGGCTCGGTTAGGCAACATTAGGAAACTATTCTTCATAAAGCAACTATGACGATCAGTGAAATGGTAAGAGATAGCAATGGCGTACTAATTAAAAGTATTAAGGATCGCCTCATAAGATGGAAAGAATTCTTTGAGGCCAAACTTAACCATGAAGCGCCATCTATTGCCCCTGATATAGCTGATACGTTTGCCGAAGCATACGCTTGCAATTGCGAGCCTCCAACAGAAAAAGAAATAATTTCAGTTATCCATAAACTTAAGGCCAACAAAACTCCAGGAGAAGATGGTCTTCGGGATGAGCTTTTTAAATGCTGTCCATCGTCCTTCATAAGGCACCTTCAACAAATGTACTCTTTAGTATGGAAAAAAGAAATATTACCAGATGATTGGAGCAAAACAATTCTGCTCCCAATTCTCAAGAAAGATAATAGGACATATTTTGCTTCCTTGCTACTCAACAGACTTATAGAAGTGCGAGATAGCAGGATGCGCCCTAATCAAGCTGGTTTCAGACCAGGGCGCGGTTGTGCTGACCAGATGTTCACGTTAAAAAGGATATTGGAACATCGCTTCAAATATTTGCAACTCACTGCCACATGTTTCATCGACTTTGCGGCTGCCTTTGTTTCAATTGATAGAGCGGCGCTTTGGAGGGTGACGAAACGTGACGGTGTTCCAGAGAAAATCATTAGACTTATAAAGGGCGCAGGTCTGTATACATGGAGAGCTGACAGATTGCTTCGAAATAAGAACAGGTACCCGTCAATATTTTTAACACCTAAAGACAATATGTATTTTTCTGTTGGATATCAAAGATCATCAGTATAATGAATTATTGTTTAACACTATTTTCCTTTGTATAAAAGATGTAAATATGATGTAAATATTTTCAATGACGCTTAACAAAGGGTTTTTATTCAAATAAGATTGATAATAATTGATAAATACAGAATATGATAAAGAGATAAGACATAATAAATGAAACCAATCCACGAAAAATTATAAGCAACTAGCGCGGAAACTATTGGCATTCCTCATTCATTTTTTATTACATTTAAATTCTGTCAGAATTAAGTGAATTTTCTGCGAGAATATTTCCATGCAAATAATAAGAAATAAAAAAAAGATGATATAAGTATAAATATGAAATAACTAAAATTATAACAGAATGCAATTTTTAGTCTAATTAGCCCTAATTTCCCTAAACTTTTAGCAGCCATTTCATTTTTACTAACGGATTAATAGCACTGCAAAAAGATGCCATAATGTTTGCAAATGTACTAAATATTTTGCAATCCAAGAAATTTTCAATTTGCGCTGTATGATTGCTTAGATAGTATATTTGTATCTTTTCAACTTTTCCGGATCGATATGGACAAATAGATCAGGAAAAAAGAAATGAAACTAACTTGGAATTTTGGTTATTTTATATATATATATAAAATGCTCTTTAGCGCAAAATCTTAACGACACATGAAACTTTGCATGCAGATATTGCAATACAGTAATTGCATATAGATCCCAATTATCACGCTTGTTTTTATCACTGATAAATATTCTGTACATCAACCAAAAAATATCAACCAATTTTATAAACTGGTGCGGCACCCGACTAGCAAATTTAAAAGAAATGAAAAAGGTCCTCGCAAACGCAAAAACAACGAAGAAAATGTTCTTACCCAATACTCCCTAAGTCCCCAACCTATTTCCCAAATTTTTTCTACCTCACTCCCGCCTTCTTTTTCCTCTACGATAAACTCGAAAATTTAAAATAGGAGCTTAAATAAGTTTTGAGATGGACGGATTTACATTTTCTCAAAATGGATGATATCTTCTGTGATATATTCTAATGCCTCTTCCTTGTCCCTTTTATTGTCTCAACATTCTCGATGTGGAAGAATTATTTAGAAGATATCATATGTATATATATATATATATATATAGATGCAAATGACCTACCTGCCCATATTTGTGATTATTTTCGCCATTCAGCGACATCATCCATCGCAGAGCTTAGTAAGTAACGGAATATGTGCAAAATCCTCTGGTGAACGACGAAGAAAATACCTTAGCCAACGAAAGCGACGCTGGAACAGATCACCATTGGATATTTATATAAAAAAAAGAAAAACTGAAATTAGCTGAAAATGCTAAAATATTTTTAAGTGATTAAGATTCAGCCAATTTTCCAAGTGATTTTTTAAAGAGAAAATATTAAAGAGAAAATATTTTAATAATCGTAATATTTGTTTTTGTTAATTAAATAATTAATTTAATTTTTTAATTAAATTAAATATTAATTAAATATTTGATTTTTTTAATAAAGTAAAAATTGTAATTTTTTGATAAATGATAAGTTTTTTTTTCTTTCTGAATTTTGCGCAATTCAATCTTTAGTAAATATATATTTGGTCATTAAAGAAATTCAACACGAATAAAAACGAATGGAATATTTCTCTTATCACTTGAAAGGAATAAATTTATTTAAAAGCGAATGTTGGCCCATCTATGCTTCTATCACCATGTGATTCTCAAACAAAAATTTTTAACCGTCTACTTTTTCTCGAAAAATATAAGATATTTTCTATAATTTTTAATAATAATATGATAGTTATATGATAGTTATTTTTAATAATCTTTTTTATTTTCAACATTTTCAATATATAGTTATTTTCGAATATTTTTATTTTTAATAATAGTTATTTTTAGCGATAATAATAGTTATTTAATAGTTATTTAATTAATAAATTAAATTAAATAATATAGTTATTTAATAGTTATCTAAATAGTTTTTATGAGAATATTGGGGAAAATTTTTGTACTTTGTATTGTTTACTTTTTTAATTTTATTTTCTAATATTTATTTATTTATTTACTTCGGTGTTGAATTTTGAATGAAAAATATCGTAAAGAAAAAATTTTCCTTTTAAACTGAATTGAGTTTTTTGCAGATGTGCAAAACATTAGCGACAGAATAACTAGTAGAAAACCCTGTAGAAGTTGTCTTTCGAAAATCCAGATGCGACTTACCTATACTACCAAGTGATTTCCTAGTAGCTTAATTAGCTTAAAAATCTGCTTGGTTCTTACAAATAAATCTTTGAAATGAGTCATCCTACCAATTCATCTCCTATTTTTTAAAACTTTTCCGACTCCATGAAACCTAATCAAAAATGGTGAACGCTCTTAGGCAAAAAAATGGGCACTGCCGTCCAAATAAGCACGCATGATACTTTTTCAATGTGCCTACGCTTAAACTTGACAATTTTTGTAAACGCTACATCAAATAAAATCATCAACTATACTTTCAATAATAAAATGGTATATGTGAGAAAAAAAGCAATTTCTTCCCAATCACCGTTTAATGGCGTCCTGTTTCTCTAAACCTGGCTATTTATACAACCTCAATCGCAAAGCGTTCTACTTTAACCTTCTAATGATACCCTTTTAGATTCTAAATAATCTTTCAAATACCCGGTCTTACCTCCACAATAATTTCGTCGAAATCTGTTGTACCGCACTCCTCAAAGCCTTATTATATTGCCTTAATGTACCAGCAAAGTTCACATACTATTTTGCTATATCTCATCAGCTTAAACAACTTAAATTATATCTGTCCCATATGTCATTATAGCCACTTAAAAGCTCCTCACTGCTATCACCTATAATATTGGATCATCTTTAATAATAATATGCTTTACTAAAATACATTGTGCTTTGTTCTTCTGCTGAAAGCTGACGCTGCAGTCAGAGTTCTTTAAATAGATTTCACCACAAACAATATTCGTAACCACAGATATTGAAATTTTAAAATCATTATCTCCATCCACTGTATAAATTTTAATGAAAATTTTGCACGATATAAACTTAACTCACAAGAATCAGCTAGGTTTGCTACTGGTTTTGCTACCATTTTTAACCCTATTAGTAACATTTAATCTCAAATTATATGATTTGTTTTATCTTTTCTTTTGGGTTATCTTATCATTTCACTTATTTTTTTTTAAAATCATCAACCTTTCCAACTCCATGAATTCGTGATGGTCAATACTATATTGTGTTCCAACCACAAATTAAGCCTCTAAACGTTCTATAAAGTTGATATTTCAAGTATTTTAAATTTCGACATAATTGAACAAAACAACCAAAAACATCACAGCAACAAACAATCTTAACATAGAACCACAAGAAGAAAAAACATTTCAAAAAGAATAAATACCTGGATAATTAATATTTTTACGAAGAAAACTATGCAAATCAGCAAAATGCAAAGGAAAAAAAATTAGCAAATTAGCACCCAAAAAACCACAAAAAAAGCCACCCTCAAACCTTAACACCAGTAGAAACAGCAATAACCATAGTAGCAGCAGAAAAATAATCACGAAAATCTAAATCCATACCAACAGTATATATATGATGACTTCAAACTACAAACCAATTAAAGCAATCAATTCTTAAAATAGCATAAATCATACCTAAAGAACCAAAAACTTCCTTATTGTCAGTCTATAAATACAAACTACTCTGACCAAAAATACCAAAAGCAGGCAAAATCGAAATGTAAACCTCAGGATAACCAAAAAACCAAAACAAATTACAATCCATCAACAACATAGGCCCAGCCGAAACGGGCAAAGTCAAAACCAAAAAAAAACAATAACAAAAACAATCCAAACAAACAAAAACAAATGCTCCAAAGAAATAAAAGCCAAGCCACATATTTGAAACAATAGCCATAAAAATAATACCCCCAAAATAGAACCCACTCCAGAACAATGCGAACTAAAAATAGCCAAATCAACAGCGCTACCAGGATAACCAGGATAACCACTAGCATTTAAAGGAGAACAAACATTCCAATTAGTACCACAAGAATTATAGACAAAACTAACATCAAAGATATTGGCATTAGCTAATAGCTCAAACTTTATTCAAACAAGGAAAATCAGGAGCACTCTATATCAAAGGTACCATCCAAATACCAAAACCATCAATTACTAAACATCATCATAAAAAAATTATCATAAAGCATGAGAAGTAATAAGAGCATTATACAACTGACCTCTACCCAAAAAAACCAGGCATTCACAACTCCGCACGAATCAAGGCAGACAAACCAGCATCAACCACACCAGACCAAGAACCAAAAATCATATACAAAGAACAAATATCCTTGTTTTCTCAAACCAAACATCATACCATTTATAATCAAATAAAAGAATTCAACCTAACTAACGAAAATAGTCCATGATATATATATATATATATATATACTAAAGTCCCAACAAGAAATACCTCCAAAAGAATAAGGATACAAGCCCACCATCTCATACAGCAATTACAAAAATAAACTCGGCAACACCACCAACACCATCATCTCTTAAAAGAAAAACAAACAATAACTAAATAACTTAAATTAAATAACAAAAAACTAGTACCAGAATCTATCACCAACAAAGACCACCCTGAACATTCAAAAAATTCATATAACCACGCAGCAACATAAGAGATCTAACAGACGACTCACTGAATGAAATCCATTAAGACAAACCCTCAAACAAGAACCAAAATAACTTCAATGAAGACGAACACGAGCAAACCAAATTAAAAAAGAAGTTAAAAGAAAAACCATAGACAAAACCCCTCTAAAAACAACATTACACCACACATCCTCAACATAACTCAAATAATTATGAAATCTAAAAGTCACAACCAACATAATCAAAACTCAACAAAATACCCATCGACACCTAAGCCTAAGCCTAAGCCACCTAATCCCAAAAAAAACAAACTTATAAAAAACAAAAAAAACCCATATTTCGCTTCTTCGTATATAGATCGAGTAAAAGGATTTGTATGGCGTCAATTACGTTAGTTAATAACGTCGTATAATGCATTCGTATGGTGCAGTAAAGCATCTAATATTAAACAAATTATATAAGCATTAAGGAAACTCCGCTCAAATGTAACGACAAAATAGCGAAGACGCGAATATAAATCGACATAATAGCGAGAAAAAACATATGGCACCTTTATGAAGTTTAAGGCATTTCTTTCAATTACTTTGAACTAAAATTTCAAAATAATAGGAAAAAAGGTTAAAAAAGTGATGAACAGAAAAATATGGTATGTTTTACTGTTATTATTGTGTACTATTGATAAATTATTTATTAATTTGTATTTATTTATTTAAACAGGAAGATACAAAATGAATTAATTGTATTTTCACAGAATTCACCAAAAGAATTGAATAAAACTATCAATCAGAAGAAATTGTAAATAGTGTAATAACATAACTGCAATATATTTTATTATAAATCTATAATAAATAACACAAATAAAACGAAAAATTTGCGAGGAAAAAATTTTTTTTCAGCCAAATGTATAGCATTTTAGCATTTTACGCGCTTCTTTAATCTGATCTCTCTTTTGCTGGCTACTATTTTTCGCCAAACGTTACTCTACCACTTTTTAACTTTTACGCTCTTTTTTACTCCAACCTTTCTAACAGTTTCTCACTATTTTTGATCTAACTTTGCTACATCTACCGATATTTAAATATTTCCGATAGTTTTATTTTTATTGTATTTTTTCTTTTTTAGCATTTTCAACGCATTCAATTGTTTTATTTTAATTTTCATAGCTTTTTCAATAACATCATTATAACAACATTTTTCTAATTTTTTCTTATATTCGTTTATGGACTTTCAGTTGGATAATGCGAGAATTTTAGGGGGAAGTATGTAGAACACCTCTCAGTAAAATAGCTCTTAAATAATTAAATTTTGCCCACATGCATGTGGAGTGTGTGATTCACCTCGTGCTGGTGGTCAATGTCCAGGTACCATTGATGGATACGAAAGTTTAAGAAGATCTTGTGAACATGTCCGGTTTTGAAATACTTGTTTTTCACGGCTTCAAAACCTCACAAGTGAATCACAACAATATTTAATTCCTGCATTTCTCCCTTTCTCCCATTTTTCACGCAGAAGCAAAATAGCGATAAAAATTTTACTAATATTAGCGAGTCTTCTTTATAACAAACATGTTTATTTGACGGTTATTGCAAATTTATCTACTGAAAAAGGAATTCGAATTTGAGGAGCAACATCGATGATTCGTTGAAAGAAGAAACTTGGCCAACTCAAATCTATTCATGACTTTTCTTGATTGTTCGATTTCTCAACATCTCAACATCACCTCTTTATTTTAATCCACGAATATCAGATGAAAAACTAACATTCGATCATTTTATTATATTATATTTAATTATATTATATCGGTGATAATTTTAAAATCCTAGTTGCTTCATACATGCTTGCATCCTAGTCGCTATTTTATATTGTGTAAAAGGTGACAAAACATTTAGCACAATAGACAATGATGGATCGAAATATTTTTGAAATATTCTTTGTGGACCATCAGCTACTATTATTATTATTCGGTTTAAAAATTTCTATTCAATAAACTTTTCACCTTTCAAAGTACACATTTGAAAGCAAAAAGGTGGTAAGAGATTGCAAATTAAGGATTTCAGTATTTAATTTGAATTCAATTCATTTTGAGATTCCAGCAATTTTACGAGAACTTTCGGTAATACATAAATGGTAAATGGTATAGCAAACTTTAAATTCAAACTGATTAAAATGTACAACACCACGCATAGAATTTTTTTTTTTTTAAATTAAAATAATTAAGTAATTTATACCAAACACATTCAAAAGGCTTACTTAAATTTTCGAAATTCTATTTCAAAGGCAATCAAAGGCAATACATTGATTGAAATTTATTTCTACTATTCGTGTTTTGATGGTTGCCTGGAACTGAAAAAAAAATCTGTTATCTTCCGTTTTTTAAAAATGATTCTTGATTTTTTGTAATGCGATCTGCAATTGTGCCAAGAAGTACTGTAAAACTGCTACAACTCCATGGACCATTTAATGAATATTAATTATTGCAACCATAATTAGAAAAAAGAAAAGGCTGTTAAAATAATAATTGCAACAATGATTGAAAATTTCGAACCTATAGCGTTTATAAAAATTATATAGAGGAGTATTACTATGAACGATTATTGATAAGAAATAATCGCGATAATAGAATTGAACTGAATAGAACTGAGCCGTAGAAAGACTGCTCAACCCATGGTGTTGACTGCTCAACTTCGGCAGACTTTCTTCGTGGCATAGAATAGTTAAGTGAGTTTTTGCTTGATTCGATAGTGCTAAAGTTCTATTCCCTGTAGGAGCAAACCAGTCGAAAAATCCCGACGATCCTGGCAAATCATTTGTTCATCAATCGCCAAAGAATTTTCTGGCATATTTGCGAATGCGATGAGCTCGTAGAATGAACCCAACCCGAAATTGTGGCTTTGAAAAAAAAACGTCATCGATGTACGAGATGAAATTTCGGAAATTTCTGCATTTCTCAAAATATTTTTCGTGAAATTAAAATAATTAAAATTCATTGACATCTTTCTCACACCGCAAATTTTATGAAAATTTTACCAAAAACTCTGAAAAATCCTGGTTTTATTTTTGAAACTTTATTTTTTATTGTCAATTATTAATACTTCTCCTCTTTTATTTCCCATTTTCTGCGTAAATGCTGCCGACATACCAGGTAAATTATGCAACAAATCAGTTCAACCACAGGTAGCAGGATAAGCTCAACCTGTACAGCATCGGTTCAAACCTTTCGGTTTGGACCATAAGCTTGCTATGATATACTTAATAAGATATACAACGAAAAGATTTAAATTAACGTAATGAGGCTTACAAAGAATTATTTAGCTTATGGTTTTCAAATAATTTTATGATACAATAAATTAAAACAATGTCTTGTGTGGTAATGAATAAATCGCATTAAAACATGATTAAAAAATTACTAAAAAATGAGAAAAAAATATCTTTTCTTATTTCATAAATAAATGATAAGAAAAAATGTGAAATCAGTTTCAGTTTAGCCAAAAAATTCTTCAGATTTCTCCAGCCTTGGCCAATTTATAATAAATAAAATAATAGTGAAATTTTAATTTCAATAAATTAAATTGTGTTCACCTGGAAAGTTTGTTGGTTGAATATATTTCACACGTCAACGTTTTCAATATTTTTTATTCATTTACGTTTCAATATAAATGCGCGAATAAAGAGTCATTATATAGGTTCAATAAGCTAAAAATACAAAGCGATGTATTGTCATATCTGAAATTTGGAAAACCTTATATAATTCGCTAGACAATCAATTGGAATGGACTATGACAGATGCTATAAGTGACTTTGTGAGTGCAACGTATGAACCTTTAATGAGTGAAATTATTTAAAGGGAGTGAAAGTGAAACCAACATCGAAGCAATTGATAGCTGAAAATGAAAATAAAAATCGACAATCCAAGAAAAGAAATGAACAAATGGGGCTTTTAAAAGCGAAAAAAAAATGGAGTAAATGAATAAATGAATAATTAATCACAAATAACAAATATAAAATAAATGAAAAATAAATTAAAAAAATAAAAATACAAATTTGAAATTATTGAAATTATTTGGCATTTGTCATTTTTCAATTTTATGTATAAAAAAAATTGTTGCTGATAACTGATAAAAATTATTACTGATAATTGAACATTGAAATTTAGAAGAGATCTTATAATGATTTCATTTTTTCCATTTATTTACGTAATTACTAAAATTCAAAAACATAATTTATTCAGAATATTCGCAAAATTACATATCATTAGATGTAACCAAAGAATTTGGATCATTTTGATGGGTTTACTATTTATTATTTATTGTTAAATCTCTCATAATATCAGTTCGTTTTCCATCGCACATAAACTTTTATCATTAATATTAAACATTAGTGAAATATTAAAATATTAAAACAATATTAAAATAAAAAATTAGTTTGAGAAAATAAAAGTATTATGAGCAAAGAAATCGGCTAATTTACGCATCCACCGCTACCGTCTTAAGACTCGTTGATAGGAAAAATGAAAGAAAAAATATAAAATATATGAATAATTGATATGTAAAAGTACAATTAATATTCATAAATAAGCTAAAATAATTCATAGATGGCACCTTCGCAATTTAAAATATGCAAAATATGCTAAAAAAATAAAAATATAAAATACTTTCACCACGTCATTTTTATTTC